GGCGGCGGCGGCCCGGACGCCCACACTGGAGCGAGCTCGGAGCGGCTGGGGTGGGCAGGGCCCCGGCCCTGGAAGCTGCGGAGCGAGGCCCAGGCCCCAGGACGGACAGCGAGGGGACCACTGCCCTAGGGCGACACGAGCGCCCCTCCTCCCCTCTGGACTCTGGGCCTGGCCCCACGCTGTTAGGACAGGGGTGTCCCTAACAGTGCTCACGTGGCCTTCAGGACACATACACCTGCCACCCCCCCCCACCCTGGTCTGAGTCGGACAACCTTGGGGAGGGATGCCTGTGGCTTCCCCACACCTCGTAGCATCAGGTGTGACACAGGTGGCCACAAGAGGGGAAGGAGCCCTGGAAGATCAAAGTCCTTCCCATCCTGTCCTTCCTGCGCCTGAGCCCAGGAGGGAGTGAGCGCTCCCCCCCAGCTCCTTCCCCTCCTCCTCCTCCGAAAGACCTGGGCTTCAGGCCTTGTCTTGGATTTGGCACTGAGGACACCTGGGCAGGAGGAGGGGGACTCTCTGTGCCACTGTGTGTGTGTGGGGGGGGGGGTTGCCTGTGACCACACAGCCCCAGTGTCATCAGCCCAGAACCTAAGGGGACAAGAGGTCCACCCAGGGCAGAGGTAGATCCTGCCCCAGAGAGGATCGGATCACACCCTTCCAGATGACCACCTGCAGGGACCTCCAGCGTGCTCCAGGTTGCCTATCTGAGGATCCACACCAGCTCTCTCTACAGAAAAGGTCACATGGAGATGCTCCCCTCTCCCGCCTCCCTCCCTCCTGCCTCGCCTTCCCTGGAACCGCTAGATGGATGTGTTTCAACAGATTCCGAGCTGATAAAATCTTATTTATCTTCGGCTGTTGACACAGGGCCGTCCAGACTTGCCCGCGCGGGTGCGTGTATTCCGGCGTGCTTGCAGGAAACGCTTTGCCCAAACACTGGTGTGCGCCTGTCCCTCCCACCACCCAGCTGCTCTCCTCCGAGCCCTCCTCTCTTTCCCTCCTCCTCCACCCCAGTCCAAGCTGGACCCGGCCTTGGCTGGGAGCCCTGGGCCTGGCAGGGCTGGCACGGGGGCGACGGGTGAGAGGGCGGGTGGGGGGTGGGCGCGGCGCGGGGCTGTTAATTTCCTGCGCCCGCTCCCGGCAGCTGGGTGCCCGGCA